ACCAAAGGCCACCAAATTTAACAAAAAGACCTATTTAAGTAGTTCATGAGATATCTTCACATGACAATTTCAGTTTGAGCAAACAGGAAATCCAAGCATGTGGCCCTCTAAAAGTGGCTGCTGTTGTACTAATTTTACTAAATGTATCAACTAGTTGCACTCCTGTGTATACTCACTGTGAAGCGAGTCCCTCAACGATAGCTTCCAGAAATGACGTCACAGCCCTCTCCTGTCCAGCCAACAGCTCTTTGATGGACTTAAAGAACTGAATCATCATTTGATCTGCAGCCAAAAATTCTTCCTCTGCCTCTGAACACCAGTTTTTAAGAAACTTTTTTCCTCTTCCTCTGTGCACAGATCCCAGCACCCACTGGGGGGCACCCGTATTTAGCTGCAGTCTTAATCTGGTGCACAGTGTCCTTGTTCAAAACTGATATGGACCAGTGTAGGCAAACTCCACAACTGCCTTCTAATCCAACAATTATCCACTTCTGGACCCAGAGACAGGGCCCACCTGCGGAGTCCTTCATCTTTTCTTTTTATCAAATCTACTGTCTTTAATTGATTCATACTCAGACCTTCCGGATAAGGAGCTGAGCAGCAGCCAGGACAAGGAGGTACAAAGAAAACTGGTCCCCATCCTCTGTGCTCAAAGTAAGGGTCCGTGAGAAGGAGGAGTTCCTAAACTCTGTCAAGGTGTTGAATACAACTGTGACATAATTAGCTTTGCAGTAAATCTTCACCACATCTTCGTCATTATTATCTATGTCCTCGTCTGCTTGAAGCTTTCTGTAGTCCTCTTGAAACTCTTCTTCTTGAGTTGTCCAAGATTCCGGCTCATCTGTTAACTTCTCACTTTCATCTCCAAACCAAGTCCATGCTCCTGGGCTGCTATTTTCAACGCTCCATGACTTTTCATCAGGATATCTTGGTTCCTCGGGATCCTCGGTTCTCACCAAAACTCTGAATTGCTCTTCCAGGTGATACTGTCCAATTTGCTGCTTAGCTTCCTTTGCATCATTGTCTTCCTCCTCATCCCCCCTTTTATTCTTCTTAACCTCCCTTTCTGCCTCTTGTTCCCCTTCTTCCAGTTCCTCTGCTTGCTTCACCTCTTTTTCTTCTTCCTCATCCACCTCCTCACTCTCCTCAACGTCGCTTACTCGCTCTTCCTCACAATCCGTGTCCTCTGCCTCCTCTTCCTCTCCATCATCCTCCTTTTCTTCCTCTTCAGCTTGAGACCAACGTCTCACCCTCTCCCACAATTTCAACCTCCTGTTCACCTCCATCTCTCTCTACCATTCCTCCCACTCTTTGTTGGGGCACGAATTGGCTACTGCCATACTGTCCAGTATCATTCTAATCTGTACTAATCCTTCCAAATCCTCAAAACATTAAGATCACTAACTTTTTTGCACAGGTTTTAAAGAAAAATTGAATGTAATCTATGTCAAGTAATAGTCCACTGTTTGGATGTTGCTGTTATTGTTGCAAGCAGCTGTAGCTCTTTCCCTGTCTGCAGACACCAGCTGTGTTGTCTGTCTGTTCCTTTGCTGCCTCTCTCTCCTCCTGTATGTGAGAGTCGTACAAGAGCACATTACCACACAAGTTTCTATTTACAGTGTATGATATCACGAGGTAAAATAAATTCTAGACTGTTTAGGCTGACAAAGGTCTTTGGTGGGGTGATGAGCTAAATGTATGGTCATATTTTTGACTTCACTACATTGTTGAATTCTTTTGTTCCCTATCCTTTGTGTTTTGTTTGATTATTTTGAGTTTCCTTTTGGTCATTTATTATAGAAATTATATTTACAGGCCATGCAATTCATCCTTTTTCTTATCCCTTTTTTTTAAAGATTCCACTTTGCAGTCTGTTCCTGTAGTCATCAGTTCTACACTTCCTAAACTTATACTGTAAAGATTTGACCCAAGCAAGTAATAAACAAGGGAATGATCTAGACCTTAAGGCAGCTGGATGTGTGCCCATATGACTTTATGAACCAAGACATCTTGAGGAGCCTTGGCATCTTTATTCCGCACCATATGACTCTGGTATCAGTATTAAATGCCTAGAGGGTCATGTTGCTCCTCCACGTCCAAAACAGTGGTATCTGGGTCAAGGACCAAGAGGCATGAGGGGAAGAAAGAAGACAAGGGGGCAACAAAACATCACAATTTACACCTGCTGCCTTTTGCTCAGACACAAAAAGCAAACGGCTCAGTAAAATTGTAACCTTGACTTGAAAAATAGTTTCACAGGTTACACGTAGCTGACAAAGGACCCTCACAAATACTCTCTCTCCTTGTATTACCACATTCTTAAAGTGGCAACTGGATTGGGTTGTGTCAGCTATCCATAAATCCACAACTGATTGTTTGTTAAGTCCTTACCAAGTTCTAAGTTTAAACTTCTGATATAATAAATTAGATTGCCCCTAAAACTTCTTAGCAACAACTTTAGTCATGTGTAATGCTGCATTCACATCGAATTAGGCAGATGGTTGACAGCAGATGAACAAGACCTTCTGGACGGGAAAAACAAGCGAACAGTTAGCAAAGAAACATGCATGTTTAAAAAAACTGGTGTGGTCGCTCGGTGGTTAATTTGACTATTTTCACATTTATCAAAGAAATACATTGGTGTGTAAGTTGTCATGTCTGTAAGTTGACTTATAACTTGTCATGCCAATTCCATTCATCCTTGTCGCCATTTGTCTGTTGCTGTATGTCATGAATTTAGTTGCTGTCACCTACGACTAGGGTCGGTTGATTGTTGTTTCTCCAGGTCTGTAACCATTCTACAGTGGGCAGCTGCTTGCACAGTACAAAGTACAAATCTCAAATCAAAAGTCCCCTGGTTGAAGATCTTGTCTCTTTAACCTCAAGGTTTAACCTTCTAAATGCACCTAAAAATAACAGCCCTTTAATTGTATCAATACAGGGCGAGTTTCTGTTGAAATGCTTTGAAGTTGAAGCACTGTGAGTGGGTGAGTTGGAAATGAAACTGGTGGGCGACACCTCGCTTTAAAACACACTCCTACCTGAGGACACAATGACTCTGCTCTTTTCAAAGCCTTTCACGTGTGTGGCATCACACACACACACATACTTACTGTACTCACATACAAGGAGCTTTAAAAAGGCAGACAAGTGAGTCAACCCCACGCAGAAAGAGAAGTTGAATGCATTTAAATAAATTGAAAACTTGAGCTAGACATTTTACACTGACATTTGGAAACATTCTAAAGCAAATTCCGTCTCTCCAGATTGAATTTGTGTGTTGTTGTGTGTTCCCACTCACGAAACATAAGGTGATCTGAAGGAGAACAGGTTGTCGTTAATAAAATAAATGTTTGTTGCCGTGTTCAGATACTGAGTTTGTAACACAGCAGATGTGCAGATGTTCTATTCACATTATCACCTACAGTGAGTGTTTTGCTCTGGGCAGCAGCTCGCAATCTACTTATGAAAAGTCTGTTTCCCTCTGCAGTCCTGATTGTTACCATGACGACAGTGAGCTGAGTGAAGAGCGCTAACCTCGTTATGGGACCCTCCCCCTCAGGCCCTTTCCTCAAGAGCAGCAAACACTGCTGGGACGTGAGGCTTAGCTGCATTCCTTTTCTTTTACTGGCAGAAGTAGAAGAAGCGTCATCATTTTTTTTTTAAAGCTGTATAAGCACACTTTCAAATTAAACCCACTGTATAAAAAACTTAAAGTAATAATTAGACATTTTGAGAAACACGCTTTTTCACTCTCTTCCAGAAAGTTTGACAAGAAAATCACTATCACTCTCATCTGTAGCTTAGCTTAGCATAGAGTATGGAAACAGGATCTGTCTGCGATCTACAGCCTACCAACACCTCGAAAACTCATTATCACTTAATAGCTTTGGCATCTCCAGGAAGTCACTCTGCCCGGCTGAGAAATAGTCACTGCACATAACCCCTCTCAAATCCACAAGTTGCAGTTTTAATACTGCTATTATAAACAAAAAAAGGAAGCTTTTTTTTGTCAAAATACAATCTAGTTTTATTGAACTTCTATGGCCCCATGAAACAGAGGTGAAACATACACATGGAAAGCAAATGTAATATTTAAGACAAGTAATACAACAGGCTGGAAGAGAAAAAAGTTAATAAACATGAATCAAATTGGCTCATACAGTACAACCTGATCTTATTTTGAAAAGCACATTCTCTACAAGCAACTCCTGTGGGGTGTGAAAGAACTAATCGTAACTTCAAAAAAACATACAAAAACAACATAACGTCACAAATACAGCACAGAAAAGCCACAGCATGGCTTTTTTTCCCAATTATTTCAGCTTGGAAGAAGTAGCATGACTGATTATCAAGCTCACGTTTCTTCTTAGATAATAATTCATAAATATAAACACAACATAAACATTATTAAACATGACCGTAATGTCTCAAATGTAAGACTGTGTTTAAACTGCTTTAACATAATTAAGTTCCAGTAAAGCTCATTTTATTTTGAGGTCGGCTTATTTTACTAAAAACATACACAAGTGCAGCAGAGAAGAGGAAGAAGAAGAAGTAGAAGAAGAAAAAGAAGAAGAAGAAAGATGGACCCACCTGCTGTTTAAATCAGCCTGCAACAAGTAAAATAATACAGGTCCTCCATTCATTAAACCAACAGATGTACTGCGGATCATACGCGGCGGGAGCTATATCAGATCTCTCCTGCTATTGCTTTTTAAATTAGGTCATGCTCTATTTTAGAAGTACCTGCATTCATAAAGTGTATTCCTAATAGAGAAAAGGGAAAGGGCCAAGAAGGTGACGACAGTGCCAAGGAAATGGGAGACGTTCTTTAACAGCAGATAAGATGCCGTGGTAGGAACAGAAGAATTGCATAGTTCAGCAGCATTAGCTTTTTTTTTTTTATTTCGCATTTTCCTGTTGAGCCTGTAATAATCCTTTTCGAGTGTACCTGCGCAGCCCTGAAACCTTTCCCCCACGTATCACTCCTGTGGCTCGTTAGAATGAGGAGCGAGACGAGAGGTCTATTTTTACCAACGAGGGGGTGAGAAAGTGAGACGGAAGGTGAGATTTTATGAGGCGAAAGCAAGTTGATCTGGTTTTCATCATGAACAGATTCTGGATGTAAATGGTCAGACAGTAGTGCAGTGTGAAAAAACTCCAATAGTTGAACCTGTGGGAACCCAAAAGGGAAACTGTCCCCAAAAGTCGAGATGTTTAAAATCCTTCCAAAATGTGTTATATTCTGGGAGTGGGGAAAAAAACATCACTCAAAATGTAGAGGGTCTATTCAAACATCTTTAGGTTAGTCGGCTATCCTTTGTAAAGCACCATGTCTTTGTATCCATTGTGTGCTGTCCACTAACTACATTGTATGAGTTTTTGGGAACTTGGGGGGAGTAAAACTACGCTCTTGAATGGCATGAACTTTTGGGTCAAGCGTTGGCCCGCGGTAGAAAGAAAGACACGATAACGATGACGAGGGAGAGGGAGAGAGGCAGCGAGAGGAGGAGGATGAAAGGGAGAGAGAGGGAAGGCGGCCACAGAGACGTGAGACGACTGGAGCCTCGGGGAACTTCGACTGGACTCTCTTGCCTCTCGACGTTTGGCCGGCAGATGACCAGCGGCCTGACCTGTGATATGCTCTCCTGGAAGAAGAGAAGAAAGACATGAGATGACAGTTGCAGGGACAAAATGCTGTCTTATTGTTCGAGTGCTATTTCTAAAGTCTTTTCTTAGCAGTTGGGTGATACGGTCAACTTAACTGGAAGATTTAAACATGAAACGTAATTTTTTTCCTCCATTTTCTGATAATAATGAGACTAATTAGGCTGTACATCGCTGTGTTTCTCTACCTCCAGTATGGTCCTGCTGTGAGCTCTGTCCGGACTGAGCCTGAGGTTCCAGCGATGTGATCTGTGGCTACGCCCGCCGTCGTCTTCGCTCTCCGTGGTGTCTTGCCGCGCTACCCGCGGGCGCTTGCGTCTCCGGGAGCTGATTCGCTGGAGAGAACCCGGCTCCTGGAGTCTGCACCAATCAGGTTAAAGACGCATGGTCAGAGGACTTCAAGGGAAGAACTACAAGCATAAAAGACACCTCGTGTGAATATGTACGTGTATGTTTGTGCACATCAAACCTGCAGTCTGTATCCTCTATATCAGCATCTGCATCGCTCTCCCCCTGCGGGTCAGACAATACGCACTCTTCCTGCAGAGGAATGAAACTAATTAAACACATAAATGTGTATGCAGAGAGTAAAGAGAGTATGAAAAAAGACAAATGCAATATACATATCATTTGTTAGAAGCTGGTAAAAATGTATGACAAATATATATATTTTTTTATTTAAGTCTAAGAGCCTTTTATAAACCCAACCTCCGCATTTACAGTATGGGGGCTTTTATTTTGTAGCAGTTGGATGAAACGCTGACGAGCCCCAGTGAATCATCACCGACTGCCACTATTTGTAAACCAAAAAAAAAACAACACTCGATGATAATGATGATGGCATTTGTCTGTGTGAGTGTCCTCGTGCGTCACTTTTTGTCATCACCATTGGCATAATGCATGAATCAGCCGACACCTCTACATATGACTAATGAGCTCAGAGACACATATTCTGGCGGTCGCTTCCTTTTGCCTGATTTTACTTGGTCCAGCTATATCCACAGGTGCAGTCATTTACATATCTACCGAGCCAAAGCATTGCATTGTGAAATTTTTAGCGACACGTATATACTATGAAGGCATTTCTTTGTTCACAGAAGTATTTGAAGGCACTATATTAAGCATATGTTGTACCCGCACACTTAAAAATTAAAGTAATAGTTGGACAGTTTGGCAAATATGCTTTTAACTTTATTGGCTGCAGCAATATAGTTCACAAACAGTTATAGAGGTGGTATTGATCTTCCCATCTAAAGCTGCGTCTCCGCCCAAAGTACCCGGAACTTTAAGTCTCAGGAACTACTTTTTAAGGAGCTAAAAGGTTCCTTCAGCTCGTCGCTGTCTGTGTTTCCACCGAGGACTAAAAACCCGCGAACATTAGGCAAATTAGTCCGCTGACATATGAAAAAAAGATGGCCATTTTTAGTCATTCTTGCTCTTCATCTGCTGTATGTTTTCTGCAACTCTGTGTAGATGGATGCAGTTTTAAGTGGTGGCTGAAATAAAATGCTTTGAGTATTCAACCAATCAGAAAGGTTCAGCGCTACAAGCCCCACAACCAAAGTCCCTGTGCTTTTAGAAAGTACAGCCCCAAACAGGAACTTTTTTGTGGGTAAAATAATGTCCCCAGAATTCAAACCCTGGTCCCTGCAGTGGAAACAGAACTCCAAATCCCTGAGGAAAGCATTTCAAGTAACTTTCAAATAAGCGTATATGCCAAAATAAAAAAACGGCTGCAGCACATCAAACGTCTACTCACCTCTATGTGCAATGTTGTGTCCGCACAAATTTCTGTTATAGAGACTCTATGACTGACAAGAGAACTATTCTGAGGTGAAATATTTTTTTTTTGAGTTAATGTACTCAAATTTCAAGCTACTGAAAATCCATATGAGAAACATCAGCTATCAGCTATCATCGGTTTGGGACTGGATGTAATGAACCCTGCTATCAGTCATATGAGCCTCACATGCTGGAACCTTGAAAAGGGCTTACAAAACCGCAGCTGCCTGCCAAAATAAAAGGTAAAGCAAACATCCAAATCTTAAGACACCTGCAGGTCAGACTCTACATTGCACGCACATCACATCACGCACTACCTCTGTGCCGTATCCCTCGGAGTACCTGGTCATCATCACTCTGTTTTTTCCACAGTGTTCACACAGGAGCGTGTCCTGAGAACAGAACGTAAAGGGAAGAAGGTGAAGCAGAGACTTGATTTACAGACACATGACAACACTAGGGACAGCTCCTTTAAAACATACAGTGAAAACCCACAGACAGCAGCGGCGACACAGAGAGGTCGGCGGGACGTTAAAGGTATGCATTTAGAGCACGATTACAGACGAAGAAACACTCTGAGCGATGGTCGCGGACACTTAAGTGGGAAGCCTTGAGCACTCACCGGCGTAGGCGTGTGTGCTTCTGAATAAAGTGTACAGGGACCGGCCTCGCACAGACACACTACATCTACCTCGCCACAACTCGCCCCCATCTGAGACAGGGAGACAGAGACAGAGAGGATAAACAGCTGTGATCTGTTGACTTGTGCGCAGCTTCTCGTCCCTCTTTATCTTCAACCAGCAGCATTTTAGGACAGTAAGTTCAAGGAAAGGAGTGAGATTAAACGGTTTAAAAGTGGAGGATGGTTCAGTTTGATGAACCTGGTTTCCCCTAGGTGAGCACCTAACAGGTATAAATAAACGACCTCACCTCACAGTCATTGTCAGACGTCTCTCTGGAGGAAAACAGGCCGTGGGAGTCAGATTCCCTCCTCAGCATGACCTCTGACCTGGCTCACACACTCACACAGACCTGCTGGGGCACACAGACAGCAGGGAGACGTTGACCGATCGTCCTTTGCGGAAGGTTTTCCCTCTTTGACACTGAGGTTCGGTTTTCGATTCGCTGGTTTTAAAAATGCTGTGAAGATTTTAGTGGAAACTTTGTAAATCTCTTTAAAATTGTAACAGCAGTGATAAAGCCGTCACTCATAACGTATAAACCCTGCGTAAAGGTGGCATTGTAAGAACGTTTTTTTGAATTAATATTGTGATATTGACTTTCACTATATTGCCATACTGTTAAGTCTATATCATGATGTTTTGTTGATTTGTAGTCCAAAAACACTGAATTAGTCAGTTGCTATCATCACTGATTTAAAAACAAAAAAATCAATAAAAAAACTAAAAAAATAAAATGTCCCACAGTGTAAGTACCTGGGTATAGTTTCATTGATAAGAATATAGGATTTAAAGAAAAGCCTGTGGTACTCAGAAACTGACTGAGTCATATGTAACTTTTTGATTATTCATTGATGATATAGACTGAACATTCCTACAATTCCCATGCGGCTGTGCCAATGATAAACGGCGCATAATGTTAATCATTGTCATTTCTTTCCCTTAAGAAATGAGTACTGTGTGGTAGAAATGATGCTGCCTTCACGTAAGCAGCGGGGGTCGCGCTGTCACAGCTGGCTCACTGTAACATCTGCTCGGCGGTGTCCGCACTCCCATTACGTAATAGCCTACGACAGTCAATGTTGACAACTTTTCACATAAGAAATATATGTTTTAAAATATATTCTGTTTCCTAAAACACACACAATTCATTCCACAAACACACACGTACGGAAAACGACAATAACTCCCAATTTTAAGCGGCGACAATAAAACAGAACAGAGTAACCCATTTTTTTTTTGTTTTTTTTTACCTTAAACGCATCGTGTCCAGGAATACGCCGGTAAACGGTGACAGAGCTCAGCGTTTAGAGGATGAGCAGCAGGACGCGGCGGTGCTTCTCATTGTGGCGCGGGGAAGCCATGAGCTCGCGCTGCCTGTGAGTGTTTGACATTGTAGCGGATCCTCTGTGTGATGTCAGCTCGAGCCGATGACAGGCAGCTACAGTCCGGGAAGCGCGCACTCACGTCACCGGGACACACCGCGAAATGTTCCCAAAACAACGCGGGACCGGGAGGGACTTCCGTTCGGGGACTTTCAAAATAGAAGGCGGTATGGCGGAAAGTCAAATAGGTAAATAAGGGTTTGAGCGCACTGTGTGCTGTGTGTGTGTGTGTGTGTGTCCATGCAAGCTGGCCCATATTCAGGCAGTGATGCTACTTTGTAACCTATTATTTGGTTTCATAACAAACTAAAAATAACAACAAAAAATGACATTAATTTAACAATGAAGTAAAGAGAACAACCTAGACATATCAAAAAAGCAATATAAAATGCAATATAAAAATGTATAAATAAGCAGTATAATTGTAGTGCAAAGTAAAAATATAAGGTACAGTGGAACAGATTATGTAAAAACATATAAGATGCTTGGAGACTGTATTGTTATGACCAGAGTTTTAGCTGTTAATATACATATATTACATTTATTTTTTTCTATAGATGTTTCTGACAAAATAGATTTAGACACAAAAATGCAAATTTAATACTTGCATTATTCTCCCACATATAACATATGCATATGATTATAAAACCATAGTGCTAACAGAAATGCACCTTTACCTCCATCAACTGTAGGTTATATGTTTTTTTGCCCTGGGCAAACAGCAACAACCAACCCCTGATCGTCACATCACATTCTGTGTGCAGTGTGTAGAGTTTTATAATGCTGGAACACTACCTGCATCCAGATTTGTTGTTTGGTAAATTAAATGAAACATAGGAAAATGCAAAATATAAGCACAAACATAAAGTAGTTGATGTCCTAAAACTAGACTAACATATAGACTCACTTCCGAACACGTCCTCAAGATCAAGTAATAAAGAAGAACCCACCTTTAGGACCTTATCATGTTAGTTGATACTGTGCTTTAGAGGTGCATATTCACATCATTTCAATTACAATGGGTAATCCAGCCTTGCATAACCCACTTTCAGAAAAGCTTATCTTGCTTTTGGTCGGCTTCTACCTCTGGCTGGGTGCTCGCCCCTGGAATCATGATCTGAAAGTGGTTTTGTGAACCCACCAATCATCAAGTATGAAGGAGGGAGCCTACGCACATATCTTCACCGGTCACAACTGCCACTGCATTGTTGCAATAAATGTGTGGTACATAGCAGTGTGGTACACCGGTATGTAATTGTCTTTTAGGAAAATGAGACGTTTAGTTGCTTGGAGAAAAATGGTGCACATTGAAAGGTGTGTATCAAGTGGTTTAAATTGAATTCAAGATCTTGCTCAGCCCATCGTGTTGGCTTGAAGGCACAACTATCATAATATGGTCAAACCATCATCTGTATTTGCACAATTTAATGTACAAAAGAAATCTAATTATCAAAAATTTGTTAATATTCTCAAAGCAAACTTGCAGTGATTACATCTCATTTTTGTCCTGATCTTTATCTTGCACTGTAAGGGCCTGGCAAGAGTTTAACTACATTCAGTGGTTACGGTAAGAGATGCACACATTATAAACAGCCACTACCACACAGACACACACAAGAATCATCAAAGGAAACAACCCTGAAATGTCTGTTCCCATGGGGAATCCCTCTGTTTCCATAACTGCGCCACATCATCACCAAAATGCTGTACTGCTAGGACACCAGTTCAGTCAGTCACTATTCCCTTTCATGTATTTGAACACATATTGATTTTCATTTGTCAGATTAAATAAACCTCCAAACAACACTTTAGTGAATTTGGTAAAAGAAGTGGAAGCCTGTGGTTGCACAACCACTCCCAGGTGTGCCTATCAAGAAATGAGATGCTGAAAAAGACTTTCTAAGTCCTCCTTTGCAACGGGCTTGAAAACTCTGTTGATAAAACGTGGTAAAAAAAAGCTTTAGCTCTCCAAATAGAGCTCATTTTGGCCTAAATGTCCCATGAGCCCCACTGAACGAGATAAAGTGTAATTATGGGAGACCTAATGGCCGAGGGAGGGATCCTCATTATGGCGGCATGTGGACCATGCAAATGACCCCTGTGAGCATAACTGTATACTGAATGTCTTGGAGCGATTCAGCAGATGCTTTCAGTTTTTCTTTCTGTTTTTCTTTCTGTTTTTGGTCATAATTTGATACACTCAGTTATGATTTGATGCTTTTACAACTGCTGAACTGCACCCTGACATTTTATCAAAGAATATCTTACTTTTTAAGGAAATATTGCCCATAAATGATTGTCCATAATCATTCCCTCTGATAAGAAAATGAGCTTTTAGGACATTGTTTCTCCATAAAATATAAAATAAAAAAAGAGAGGACAAATATCTGCACTTCCATGTGTGTCAGCATATTCACTAAACCTTTGTAACATGTCTTGACTCATCAAGCCAGCCTTGGATAATGCAGTTACTGTGTCATCCACTACGTTGCATGTAATAAAAAAAGGGATGCAGGTCAATCGTGCTCTTTTATGCGCCCACAGGGGAGAAGGGGGGGTTGAAGCGGAGGGAAGTAACAGATCTTCAGTGGCAGATAGAGAGGTTTGTGTATACACAAGTAGCAATACAAACAGGAGATGCAGGCTTGATAAGGAAATTAAGGGAAAGGGTGCAACTCAAATACACCAAGACTAATCCACCAACGGACCAATGCACCTCTCTCGCTCTCTCTCTTTCTCTCTTTTGCTCTCTAAAAGTCTCTCTTCACTGTCACTTACAGAAAGAGAAACAGGGAGAGGGAGATGAAAGTCAAGGGAGAGCTGCAGAAGCACGTCATTTAGATATTCTGGAAGCGCAGCAGAGAGGCATTCCTTGGATTTTCTCATCAGAATTTGGATGCAGCACTAAACATAACCCGTCAAAACTCATACGAATTCCTTCTCTTTGACTGAGGTCACAGGTTTCTGGCGCACACGCAGGAAAACAGTGGACTTTTGGATCAAAGCATCGGACTCGGCTCGTCATTTTTAGATTTGAAGGACAAACACCAACCCGAGGCAATTGCAGGTTACAGTGCTGTGAGAACACCCAGAGGTGGTTCGAAGATTGTGATTTGGTTGTGTGAGTTATGTGCTTCTGTGGTCGACAAGTGAGGCTGAGCATCCACAGACATTCAGATGCACATACACAGTGTCTGAGGGGTTTGCTGACTGCACAGAAGAAGAGACAAGGAAGGGAACAAGTTTAGCTGCTGGAATGTAAGGACGAAAAGCGAATGTTCACTGTGATCTGATCTCACCCAAAAATGCCTTGTTTTTATCTAATATGAGGAAGGAGCATGCTTTTTGGAGTCGCTTTTTCAAGGTATACGACAAGGCAATGCTACTAAAGATCAACAGAAGTTTTTGAGTCACAGACAACTCTGAAAGACCAATGAAGGAGTCGGACCAAATCAAAGATATCCCCCTGACCTGGGACTTCGACCAGTCCTGGGGTTCATTCCTAAAACCCGCTGCCCGTCTTTGCCTCAACACCTTGGATTTCTCGGACCTCTGGGACGAGGAAGACAGTACAGAGGACGAGGGCACCAATTCAACAAATGAATCATCAACGTGCCCCGGAGCCCCTCCAGCACCCCCCTCCCCTCCTCCTCTTCCTCCCCCTCCTCCGCTCGCCTCACCTTTGCCCACGGCCTCCCATGAAGGTGCGACCATCAAATGTCGCACCTTGAAGCTCCACTGGAGGGAACTGCCGAGTTTAGCCCCCCTTCCCAGGATGACCCGCTTTGGGACTCACACTATCTGGGCCAGACTCGAGCCAGTGCATTTGGATACAAACCGACTGGAGTACCTTTTTGAATCTAAAGGCAATAGCACCAGTTTTAATGTGGTTTCCGGAAGACAGGTAAGACTAATGCAACAGGATGATTTGTCAGGAAGTGAGGTTATGATAACAAATCGGTTTTTCCTTTGTGGATAACATCAGATTTATGGAAGCAACTGTAAAAGCCAACATTTTCATCATTGGGTCATTTTATGTGGTTCTACATCTGTTTCCTGAACATGTAAACTTTTGGGAAGTAATATTCCTGAGAGGGGTAGTCATCTGCTGCTACAGTGATGGGAATCAGTTACAATAACAAGAAGTAGTCATACCAGAAAGGAAGTACAGCCTAAAGCGCGGCTTCATTTCAGCACATTGACAACAGTGGTAGTTGTAATGTCTGTAAAATTATAATTTCAAATAAGGGTGGAAACACCAGCAACATGCTGAAACATCTTACGCCATGTATTTGACAATCTACGCAGGTGTGCCACTGCTTGCCAACCAAGCAGCACGCCCTTTTACACAGGTAAATATTCTAATATAGCACTAGTGCAACAAGCAGGGTTTTTTTCTTTACAAAGAAAACCTAAATAAAAACAAATTCTGTTTAAAATGCAAATATTAGTGATGGGAATAAAAAAAAAACGGTTCCAAACCACACAGTGGAGCTTTTGCATATGTGAACCACATGCGTGACTTTTTTCTACTCTGTCTCAACATCACGTTGATGCCAAAAACCTGTGTAGTTTTTCCGCACAGATAAATTGATCGGGAATCAATAAAGAAATGGAACCGATACGCAGAATCTACCAGGCATTAGTATTAAAAAAATCTTACGGAAAGTCCGTTCAGATCACAGTATGTGGTGGAACACCAGAAATAGAACAGATTTTCACATACATCCTCATTAGGCTAAATGCAACCCTAAAATGCACTCATTCTCTGTATCCCAACACAGAAGCAGCCATCAGTCTCAGTGTTGGGGATGAAGCGAAGTAACATCATTACCATTGCCCTGAGCAGCCTGCCCCCTCCTCGCCTCCTCCCCCCTGCTATCTACAGCATGGACAGCAGCGTATTGGACAGAGAGGACGTTCAGGTACAGTAGAGGTTGTGTCCTCCAGAATTTGAGCTTCAGCATTTTCCTTAACCTCTAAAGTGCTTTTGTTGCATAGACATTTTGTTGCCATATCGTTATTATGGCAAAATGAAACCAGTGCACAATGCAGAAAAAGACAGACACAGAGAAATGTCCCATTAGGAGATTTAAATATTCCTGCAGTCCATTAGTAGTTCTGAGTTCATCTCTTTCCACATTCCCTTCTGTAACAGCGACTTCAAGCACTAGTCCCAACAGAAGAGGAACTCTGTCTGATCAAGGAGGCCAAGGCCCAGAACCCTCACTCCCCTCTGGCCCCAGCCGAGCTCTGCCTGCTCACTTTGGGTGAAATCCCACATCTGACCACCAGGCTTCAGCTGTGGGCTTTCGCTCTGGACTACGACTCCTTAGAAAGGGTAAAAGAGAGTGGAACTATCATGGAATGAGATGGCATTTCGTAAAGATAGATGTCTGTTTTGCTACCCTTTAAGTGATGCAAAGTGATTCCATCTAAATGCTAAGTCACTAACTCTCTCCCCTTAACAGGAAATTGCTGAGCCTCTCTTCCATCTGAAGCTGGCCATGGAGCAGCTCTCAGCCAGCCAGACATTCAGATGCATTCTAGCAACAGTGTTAGCGATCGGTAACTTTCTCAATGGATGTAAGGTGAGTGAGTTTTCCTTTATTATCCCTTTTCGATGCACTTCCGGGTGTCAGTAAGTCTCACGATACATTTTAATATGCCAAGGCCCGTGGTTTTGAGCTGAGCTACCTGGGGAAGCTGTCCCAAGTGAGGGATACACACAGTCGCCAGCCCCTGCTGCACCACGTCTGTGTGCTACTGATGCAGCTCTACCCGCAATCGTCTGACCTCTACTCTGACATCACTGCTGTTACTAAAGCTGGCAAGGTGCGTAGTTGCGCCTGTGTGTGTGTGCGTGTTTGTCTCTTGAGGGTGTATGTTGTGCTGCATCTAAGTCTAAGGACTGGATAAAGCAAAAAGGCTGACCATGATTGATTCCAACTCATTTTAAATATCAGGTATAAGGGGAGTCCAAACCATATTTGAAATAGACCATAAACTACATTATTCCTATCAAAATGTATCTAAGTAACAAGTAATGTAAATCCACTTCAAAATGCATCAAATTCCATTCTCTTTTTTCGTCCTTACAGTGCGACTTCTCCCTAGTGCAGTCCAACTTCGCCCAGCTAGAAGCCCAGTGCAAAGCATCCTGGGAGCAGCTCAAGATTTTGGACAAGGCAGATAGAGAGAGGAAAGGAGGGAAGGTGGACAAGAGGAGAGGAGGAGGAAGAGAAGAGGAGGCCTTGGCCCTGGAGGGCTCGCTCCGTCACAGGTTGCCGAAGATTTTAAAAGAGTGCGAGGAGAGGCTGAAGGTCCTGAGAGCCGTCCATCGCCGGGTTATCAACAGGTGGTCCATTTTATTTTGTTGACATTTCTGGTGTAAAGTGTTTCCTTCTTGTTGTTTAAGTTATGGAGTAAAACTTGCTGTTTTTCTATTCATGTTTGTTTCTCTAGGTTCCACTCTTTCCTCTTATTCCTAGGCTACTCCCGAGCTATGGTGAGAGACACCAAAGCGGAAGACTTCTGTAGAACCGTCAGCAACTTTTCGTTGGAGTACAGGAGCACACGGCAGGCCATCCTCCTGCAGAGAGAGAGGGAACGACAAAAAAGTGGAGCAGAGAGCCCAGGCCCGAACACTCCCGCAGCCAGGAGGACACATCAACAAACTCCAACACAGGTTTTCTTTTATTTCAGATGGTCTTAAAGTGAAGTCCCTCCATTGTGGACAAAATGATTCACCGGTTTTGTTTACCTGTTAATCTGCTGATCCATTAGGAAAATGATGAGCAACGTAGGCTGGAGGAGGTGCTGAGAACGCCAGAGTCCACCTCCAGACTCGACGCCACTCTGCCTCGAAACCGCAGGAGGATGACTGACTTCCGAGGTACTTACACATGCCTGAAAAAAAAAAAAACTCCTTAATCTCTTTTTGTTTCTCTCTTTATCAATCAAACGTGTAATACTGAACCCATATTTCTTCGTTTCGCAGGTCCATTGTCACGGAAACTGACGTGGTGACCCTGCTGATATACTTTCAAAAACCATTCAGTCACTGGAGTATTCGAACAAAATTGTTTGTGATTGTTATTTATGACAGTGTTGAAAGTCATATTTTTTTCCAGCACAATGTTGTTTATTGGTAAGAATATGGACAGCTGCATGCGACTTCCACATGCCATTCATTTTTGATCATGTTTTTAAAGTTTTAAAGTAAAGATGCAATACAATTTGATTAAAATACATTAAACATGTACATTCATTTGTGTGTGTGTGTGTGTGCTCCACTGAACCAGAGTAAAATGAACAAAGAAATGTGCAAAATCTAAATGGTCAACATTCAAAAAACAAAACACTAAAAGAAGGGTGTTAGCCGGCATTTTACCAGAATAAAGCCTAAAACGTGATGAAAACAAACTCCTCTTCAGAATTCTACATTGTGGACTGTTACATTGTGGACTGTTACATTGTGGATTGTTACATTGCGGATTGTTACATTGTGGACTGTTACATTCTACCATCCACAAAAGATCCACAATGTGACAATCGCAATGGTAACAACCACAATGTAGACAGTCCACAATGTACCCAACACAATCCGCAATGGTAAACAATCCACAATGTAACAGTCCACAATGTTAACAGTCCGCAATGAACATCCACACGATGTAGCGGGACAGTCCACCAAGTAACAGTCCACAATGTAGAAGTTCTGAAGAGGAGTTGTTTTCATCACGTTTTAAAAGCATAATTCTGGTAAATTCCGTTATTACGGATTGCCGGCTAACACCTCCGTTTTAGTGTTTTTTGTTGTTCTTACTGTGAATGTAATGACCATAAGATCTTATGCAACATTTCTTTGTTCATCCATCTGCAGATTCTCAGTGAGAACAATCCTAGCAATCACGAAATGGTACATCACAACACACACAACGAAGAATTCGAGAATACGTAGTTTGATATAATTATAATCAAAGTACTGTAGCATGCATTATTACGTTAAAATACTCTATCCACAACACGATTCAAAATGAATGCATTTAGAACCACGTACCGCATGGCAGCTGTCCAATATCTTACCATAAACAAACATTGTGCTGGAAATAAATATGAATTTTCAGCAGCAGATCATTTGGGCTAAAATTAATAAAATCACAAACAATTGTTCGAAGTACTCCAGTGACGGGATATGTAGTTTGAGCCAAAGTAATTGGTCAGCAGGGATCACACATCGCTGCCAGTGGTTTCTCGGGGAAGCGATATAGGAAATCCTTGCCCAGCATAACATCGAAAAAGAATAAATATGGGTTCAAGTATTATCACGTAATTTTTGTATTGAATATAGAAATAGTGCAGTATATCTATAAAAGACGATTTGAAGGTAGTGGGGTTTCTATTTGTTTTTCCAGGCATGTAACGTACCTTCAGACATCAGTAATACCACCTGCGGTTTCATCGAGACATGAGTGCGCGTCGAGAAGATCAGAGTGTGTATCTTAACCTTGCTTGTCTCAGCCTACCTCCCGTCCAGCATACGTTGCTACAT